TATACACCCATGTTCATAGAGCATTATTCACAATAGCCAAGAGATGGAAGCAACCCAAGGGTCTATTGACAGATGGATGGATAGACAAAACGTGGTATATACACACAGTGGAATATTATTCAGCCTTAAAGAGGAAGGAAATTCTGACACGTGCTACATGGATGAATCTTGAGGACATTGTGCTAAGTAAATTAAGCCAGTCACAAAAAGATAAATACTGTATGATGCCACTTATATGAGGTATCTAGAGTAGTCAAACTCAGAGACAGAAGGTAGAACAGTGGTTGCCAGGGGCTGGAGGAGGAGGAAACTGGAGTTGTTGGTCACTGGGTACAAAGTTTCAGTGTCAAAAGATGAAAAAGTTCTGGAGGTCTGTGGTACAACAATATGAATATACTTAACACTGTTAAACTAGACACTTAACAATGGCGGAGGTGGTACCTTTTGTGTTCCATGTTTTGTACCACAGTAAAACAAAAACACAATTAGTTCACCAAACTGTTCACTAATATTACCGTTGTTTTTGTGAGGAGGGCAAAAAAGATAGGAAAGGGCATTGTGTGCCCACAGCTAGTCGGTGAACCTGGACCTCCTAACATGGGGCATAAGCAGATGCCACCCGAAATGAGGCTTCTGGGACACAGACCCTGGCCCGCCTGCCTCTCAGGCCCGGGGGGCAGTCCTGGTCAGCCCCAGCTGAAGCACGACCCTTTTCTCCTTCCCCAGCCGCCATGATGTGGACGGTGGGCATGGCCAAGCCGGACCCCTCCTCTCAGGGAGCCCTTCAGCTCCCCTACGACCCAGAGATGGGTGAGTATCGGGCTGACCGCCTCCTGTCACTGGGTGCAGCTCTCACCTGCACCCAGCTCAGCTTGGCCTCGCCTCGTCCCTCCGGGAGGGGCAGAGGGAAAGCTGACCCTCGTGGCATCTTGGGGATTGAGTGGGTGGGACTTGGGTCCTCTGCCTCAGCCCTGTTTCTCCTCCTTTTCTTCCCTTGTCATGTGGAATGGAGAACCGTTTTCTATGTGTCAGGGCTGGTGGGTGAGCTCATGCTTTGTTTCCCAGAGATCAGAGAGCTCTCTGAATGGACTTTTGTTTTTCTTCCTTGTCCCTCCCCCCCTCACCCCCCATGGTGATGCTGGTCACCCAGAAGAAGACTCCTATGACAGTTTTGGGGAGCCCTCATACCCTGAAGTCGTTGAGCCCCCCCTGCCTGGCTACCCAGGAGAGGAACTGGAGGAAGAGGAGGAAAGTAAGGCGCCCGTATCCAGACGGTCTGCGTGGGCCCAGGGGTGGGAGCGGAGGGTGGAGATGGGAGGAGGGTGTGAGAGAGAGCCCCTTTGCCAACGGAGATAGCTTTACAAAAGTCAAGAAGAAACCTGCAAAGGTGGGTGGTGTTGGCAGGCCGTGGGGCCGTTCACATTCAGGCTGACAACGTACTTAACTTTCATTGAGCACCGGTGCGCTTCAGTGCATGGGTGGGGGTGCGGGGAGTTGGTGCCCAGCTCTGGTGGGACTCACATCTAATGGGTGGGCACTGACCACATACTCTGAGTCGGGGAGGACTGTGAAGGAGGACACGGGGGATGGGGAGCACTGTCGGGCTCTTGACTAGGTCTTAGGGGGTCAGAGAGAGTTACCTGAGGAAGTGACTTCTGCTCTGAGCTCAGAGAGGG